ATCATAGACAGAGTTAGAACACCCTGGCTTAGATGACTTTGAACATGCATATCTCACCTTTGCACATCCTTCTGTCTTCTCTCAGAACATATCCAGCAGGACACTTGCATTCATATGACCCATAAGTATTTACACATCGGAAGGCACAGAGCAGAGGATTCTGGGCACACTCATTTATATCTGCAGAAGAAGGTAGGAAGAGAATAATGGATCATAAGCCTCAACCAAAAAAGGAATATACTTTTTACCAAAAGTTGCAATGTTTCATTGTCATAAACATGGAAGGACCAAGCAGTCTCTGCATTTCCAGGATTATAAAATGAGTTGGTTATTTTATAATTGGCCTAAGTAGGGTGATCATACACCTACTTGGTTCTTCCAGCACAATCTAAGTTTATACTTATTGTGCTGGTATAATTATTGTTATTTAGGCAGATGAGAAATTATAGGTCATCCAACATATAGGGAACTTTTCAGAAATGCTGGCTTTGAAGTCTCAAGTTGACAAGTTACCACTCCCTAAAGTCACAATGAAATCGGGATCAGTTTTACCCCATTTAGCCAGAATAACTGCTAAGTCAACTGCTGTGAGAACAGCCAGAACCCCCAGTATCATTAACCCCTCCCCTTCTCCAGATAAAAGAGGCTCCTATGAAGTAACAGTGATTCTCATGCCCAAGAAAGTATTCTGAATAATTTTACACTTAGAGAGATACTGTATTTAGTTCATACTGAGGCTTAAGTTATAGCCTCAAATAGGAATAATAGTAATAGATTAATAGATAAAAGTGGTTTCTGTAGATTGCATAGTTTGGAACCATCAGAATGTGGTTCAGAAAATCAGGGTTAAAACAGATCTTGATTACCACATTTCTCCCTAAGGCCAACGATTCTGACAAAAACATCTGTGAGATCCCACATCATGATCTAGTCATCATCTAGCCGTTAAAGATTCACCAACATCTTTGATAAGGAGTATTGATAGATAATATCTCTAATGAAAAGCTCACCTTAATACCCACTGTACCATCTCCTCACCTTCATTCTTTTCTTAAACCAGTGGTCTCAACTTAAAAGCGCATTGGAACCACCTGGAGGGCTGCTGGTCCCACCCTTAGAGTGTCTGATTCAGGAGGTCTGGGACCAGGCCTGAAAATCTGTATTTCTAACAAATTCCCAGGTGACACTGATGTGGCTGATCCAGGGACCACCCTTTGAGAGCTGCTATTCTAGACACTCCCTCCATTGCCTTTCTTTCCCTGCATCCTACCAGACATACTGGCTGTTGCTGACAGAGTACCGACAGCCTCTTTTGCAGTGATTGCCCCCAGAGAGAGAGAGGATATTGGTGTTAATCTTAGTGTGTAGTTTCTATGAAGAGAAAAGAAAAAGAAAGGGTGTATAGGATACAGTGGGAAAAAGGGGAGACAAAATAAAAAAGAGGATAGGAGACAGGGCAGGTGTTATATTCAAATATTAGTGGTAGTAGAGACCCCAAGAAGAACTCTGCATGAGATACGGCATCACCTGGGCCATGAACCACCTACATCTTTTTCAGATACTTTCTGCAGAGAGGAGGCCACATAGAGAAGAAATGATGACATGGCCCAGATTTTCTTTATTTTATATACCCTAGGTGGTATTTAATACTAAGAATTATAATCAACCAACTACTATCCCTATGATCAGAACATGCAACCAACTATCCTATGTTTAAGAGGCTTACCTTCACAAGTCATCATTGGCCCAGGCTCAAATCCCTCCTCACAGGTGCATTCAAAACCTCCAATCACATTCTTGCAGGTTCCATTTCCACAAGGATTGCCTACCGAACATTCATCAGTGTCTGCAAGTGATCAGAAGTGTAGTCAAAATATGATGAATTGAGAGAAAATGGACTTGGACTCATAGTACCTTTCAAACTCCAGCGGAGTACTTTGATCTCTAACATTTTGGTTCATTCTCATTCTGTGCTTGCAAGAGAGGAGTGCGTATCTTATGACCACAGATTTACAGCTGTGAAATTTGACTTGCTAAGTGGCAGTAACAGTACCCAGGCTTCTTATCCCTAACTGTGCTCTTTGCTGTGGGCGTCTCCAGCCTCCTATGTTATGAAATACATCTACTGGGAACAGATGCTCAAAGGGTTAAAACAAGGCTTCTCTTACAAGTCAAAAGTTTTTGCTTACTTAATGTTAGAAATACACCTCCAGTTTGGCCCTACATTACATCATTCTCCAAGAAGCCTTAAACATGATGGACTTTTGCCAGATATAAAATAGAAGACTAAACTTACGCAAAATAAGAGACCAGAGGTTAAGCAAAATTGAGACACTGGATAAAGTCAAGAGTCAAGTAGATTTTGTTGAATTTGTGGAAACCAGATGGCTTCCATTAGGCAGAAGAAAGGCTAGAAAGAAATATGTTTAGGGTATGATCTCTCTAAACAACTGTGGAGAAAAGTCTTACCAAGGAAGTCTAAAAAATATATGTCTCCTAATCCATCCACCTAGAATACTGACTGTTCTTATTCTGACATATCTCTTGGGGAGAATACCTTCCTTTGGGAAAGGAACATTCCAGAGAAATAACATTGCTATCTCAGCTGTCAAGAGCACAGAAAAGTGATGAATTATTATTGAGGGCTGTGTCTCATGTTAGGTTTTGAAGTCAGAAAGTGAGGGCAAGAGGGCAGGGCTGAGAGACCCTGGTGAGGAGGCGTATTTCTCACATATATCGTAGCACTAACTGAAGATATTGAACAGAAAACACTGGCAACTTTGCTTTTGTTCTGCTATGAAATTGCATTTCACGGTCAGGAATATTACAGCTCTTTCAAGTTAATAAAAATCACACTATCATTGATTTTTAGAGTTGTAAGGTAATTAGAAATATTTTAATCCATCTGCATGATATTTATTATATTCTGAATCTTAGAGGGCTGAAAAACTTGCTTAAGTTCCCACAGCCATGGCTGTGGGTAAAAACCACATACCCTGATGCCCTGTATAGAAAGAACATTTTCTAATGCATACAGACAAACCCTCAGCATTTATGCCATTATTAATTTAGGTTACATTGAATGGTTTTGAATTTCTTAGATAAAAGAGGTCAAAGGTCAGTCACAGGAGCCATTCTTTGAAATTTTAATAAGGGGGCTAATACAAGGGGATACCCTGGGTAGGCAGCCTCTCACAGTACTAAGTGTAACAAAATCTGGGTAAATTTTGTGTTTTCCATACTGAGAGAATAAGATTATGACAATTTACTTTTTTTTTTAATTTCATAAAGGCTTTCACTATAATGCTGTCCTTTTTACCATCTCTTCAAATGTGTTCAGTGACCTCCTCATCAGACTGTAAGGTCCAATCAGACTGTAAGGTCCAATCAAGGAAGAACCCTGTTGGTTTGGTTCACTAGTGTAGCCAAAACACCAGGCATAGTGCCTGGTACCTGGCAGGCACCCAGCCAGTATTGCTAGATGAATGATACATGAATGAGTAAATAAAACTTATTTCTGTCTCATCCTGGTGTTTATATATCCTTGTGTGAATGCTGAATTGCTTAATTTCTGATTTGTAACATCTCTGTAGAAGAAGCCACTTTATTACTCACCCACACATTCATTCCCTTGCAGAATGTAGCCAAAGGGACATTCGCAGCGATACGACCCATCGGTGTTGATGCACTGCCCATGTTTACAGACATCGGGTTCTTTGCACTCATCCATGTCTTAAGCATAGGAGGAAAAAACAGTGAACAACAAAGTAACTTTTTAGAAACACAAAGGGATATTATGATTGTTTCAGTGTCTAGTTGATAAAATGTAATATTAACATACAATATAAAAATATAATTGGTATCTAAATGAAAAGACCAAAAAATAGGGCTTCATTTACCAAGATAAATGTGGAGAAATAACAGCAAGAGAAAGGACAACGGAAGAGACTGGTTGAGAATATTATAAAATGCTGAGTCCAGCGCAAGCCACTCACCAACTGCTGAATCATCGGGTCCCACGATGATGCCACTTCCATAGGGACAGATCTGGCGGAAGGCCTCTGTGGTGGAGATGAACCCTCGTTAATGGGTGGCAATGGCATTTAGCAAATATCGTGTGGAGGCTGCACATACTGGAACACGATGAACAATCCAAGTCCAGAAACCAGAGAAAGTTAACAAAGCTCTCAGAGCTGGGGTACCTACTACTTGGGCAGCTTCGAGTCATAACATACTTCAGAAAAAAATAACCACCTCGCTCCTAAGATAAAATAATCTTAGTGAACATTTCAATTGGACTTAATACTTAAATTGTCTTATTTTCTGAAAGCCTGCAGCCTTACAGCCTGCACTGTGAATGGCCCAAAGAGATGCAGACAGGAGCCATACCATCGGGTTCAGTGGGGCACAGCTCGCAGGGATCTCCCCAGCCTTCTCCCTTCAAGGCACAGCAGCATTCCTGTTTGGAGTGATTTCTGGATTTGGGTGATGAACACTTTCCTCCTTCAAACTTCGCGTAACAGTAGCTCATTCGTAAATCTGCAGCAAAAATTCAAGACACCCCTCAGTGGCTTTCCTGCTAAGTCATTATTGTATAACATTGAGTAAGAAATAATCCACTCTGTTAAATGTGATCTCTTCTTATGACTAAAGTCATCCTTTTAAAGTGATTATAAAAGTAGCTGAGCTGAGACTGTTAAGTGAAACAGTTCGTTGCTCAGTTGTGTCTGACTCTTTGTGACCCCACATGCCCGCGAGGCTCCTCTGTCCATGGGATTCTACCAGGCAAGAATACTGGAGTGAGTTGCCATGCCATCCATCAGGGGATTTTCCTGGCCCAGGGATCGAACCTGGGTCTCCTGCATTGCAGGCAGATTCTTTACCATCTGAGCCACCAGAGAAGCCTGAGATCCTTAAAGTGATAAATAACCTTTGTAGTATGATCTGAAGAACACATCTGTGTGACTTTTACCTTATTATTTCTTTTCATTTTATCCAAGGTTCCGAAGCAGTCTGCTGTGAATCCAGTGCTGTCATCATCAGTGACTTCAGGATGGGGACATTCAGAGATGGACTAACATTTAGTGAGCACTCTACGTTAAGGTAGCTCTCCCAGCTCTAGGTCTCACTGTGATATCACACACTGCGCTGTGTATTCTGTGTCGCCTAAGCCCTGGAGACAAAACCCCAGATTCCAGGCATAGAGCAAATAAAGATGTGCCAGTTTTGTGGACTGGCAAAAATACAACTCAATGATATTTCACTGAAGCAGCTCTTCAGTTTCTGTCTACAAAATATATGTGAGGTTTTCTGCAGATTTTATGCACATGTGTGTACACACTTGCACACACACAGAAGCTTGTCTGGCTCAACAGAGAGAGGGAAGGTAAAGAGGACAGGAAGATAGGTGGATGTGAAGGAGAATAATCATCCTTTCAAAGGATGTATTTCTTTCTTTTTTGACTTCATTACAACTTTAATGTATTACTATACCACTAATATTACAGTATAAAAAAGGAAAAAACCAAAGAATTGGTTCTTTCTAATTACATTAATGTATTTTTAAGTGAGAAAAAATGTAAACCTATATATTACTCTGTCACAGTAATGAATAATAACATTTTTGTTTGGTAAACATAAATTTTAGCTTATACATGACAGATTTTACTGACTTTGGGTAATCTTTGAAACTGAAATTTATGCTTCTTTTTAGGTTATTTTGTGCTTTAAAACTAAAGAATGAAGCAGAAAACATCAGTGTTTTGAGGTACATAAATTGTATGTTTAATATACTTTGATTTTATTAAAATTTACTTATTTGTTATTTTAAAGAATATATTTCCTTAACATCAGTTCTTTCTTGGCAACTCCAACATGGAGCATGGGATTGGGATCTAGGTCCTACAAAATTCTCCAATGTTGCTTGACATAGCTTTGGAAACTGACTTTTCCATTTCTTATAGAGCAAATTGGGTGACTCTAAAAAGTGAGCTCATCCAAGAGCCTGGAGTGCATTTGCCCTCAAATTTGACTTCCAAAGTTTTGCAAACTCCTCTGAGTCACACAGATGCTGAAATCTGCAGGTTTTAAGGAAATGTGTTCAGCTCCATTTTGCACAATAGCCCTTTCTTTATGAATGACCAGGTCTGCTCTCTCCTGTCAATGTTTTCAAGTCCAGGTAGCAAATTATTAGAGCCATTTATGACTTCAGTTAAGACAATTTTACTGTTTTAATGAGACAAAGTGAGAATAACTGAGTTGCAAAAGATCACAGCAGGAAAATTTTCATGAATTAAAGTATCAGCCAACCATATTTACCAGGCTCCAATAAGTCAAATTCAGTTGGCCTTTGCAATGAACTTGTTGAACTCATCATGGCTACAATTCTTCAGATAAATGATCCCTCTGGGGTCTACAGCATTTCCACATTTGTTATGGGTGGGGACCTAACAGTCACCTTTTTTGCAAACTACTCTTCTGAAGGTGAAGAGCAATAAAAGCTGATCCTTATCCTGCAGCATCTCCTCTATGCAAATGTTGTCTCTGTTGAGAAGCTTCAAGATTTTACAAACTAGTTTCTTAAAGCATACCTTTTAATTTGCTTTCTTTTTTTCCCCCCAGAAATCAAAATATTAGGTTTATTGCTACTGACACCTGGCATGGAAAATATGTCTCTGAATTGCAGGCATGTCTCATGGCTTCCTCACGTTCCTCCCAGAATTTGCTTTACTCCTCAAGTCCATTGTCACATACAGCATTTTGTGTTTACTCGTCCTATTTTTATTATTTATGCCTATAACTATCTTAAGATATAATTTAATGACTACTCAAAAAAAAAAAAATCTCAACAAGCATATCAAAACTCAGTTCTTTCCTCTGTCTTCTAGCTTGAAATGTATCTTTAACATGGATACATGAATGTTCTAATATTGGTCTGTTCTCATTCTCTTTTCCTTTTATTACTGACCCTGTTCCATACCCCAGCCCACCTCCCCAGCACCACTGTATCACCTCACCCCAGAAAAAAATCTAGGTATGAAGTTTAGAGTGAGCCAAAGTGACAAACTGCCTTCACTTAACTATTGCAGGTGTGGCTCACTTACCTCTGTGGCCTTCAGGTGCCAGAGTCTGTTCACCTGAGTCCTAGATCCCATTTGTTCCTTCAAAAACATTATCCATGGTTCTCTTCTATGGAATTTTCTAATTTTATGGGCAATAGAAGCTTGACTCCTAATTTGCCATCTTATAATAAAAACAAAGCTCTTAATTCCCTGGCTCTAGCAAAATCTGTGTCCTGTGGGAGATTTACATTGGCTTTGTGGTCACTCTCTAGAATTGGTGTTTTAATCAAAGGTGCCCGGCACTGGGAAAGAGTTTGTATGCACCCGCATCCTTTAACGAGGGCTTGCTAGGATACTTGTTTACCAGTGCATCTGTGAAGCACCCTTAATGGCCTTTGAAATTTCATCAGAGCTACAAAAGTCACTTTGCCTGCTCGCATTCCTCAATCCTGGCTCTACCTCTTGGAGCTGAGCTTGTGGCAGGGCTGCTCACAGCTGGGCTGAGTCTTCCTGCAGCGTTAGCTTGCTCAGTGACAGGCCAGTGCAAATTGAATTAATAGCCTCTGAATTTCCTCTGGCCTGCCACATCGGCAGATTCACACCTGGTTTCTCACTACTTTCCTTCCAAACTCTGGCCAAGCCAAAGGCACACAAAAACAAAGGAGCAAGAGCTAGAATTTATCTGGCTGGTCTGCACCAAACAGACAGAATATCTGCTTGCATCAAGCACTGCTCCACCCACAACCCAGAAATCCACATGGGGCTCTGATAGCTACCTACAAGATCAAACCAACAGAGAATTCTCAATGCTCCCCCTTCACATCCCTAAATATTACATGACAAGATGACCAGTTGAAAAGTAAAAGGTTAATCAATTAGAATAACAATAATAAGAGTCCATGAAAGACTCAGAAATGAACAAAGCTTTGTCATGTATTCAATAAGACTGTTTGGGTAGGTATTCTTATTGTTTAAAAAGAAGAAAATTGAGCTTCCAAAAGATTAAATGACTTGCCCTAGGCTATAAATGACTTGCCCTAGGCTATAAATGACAAGGCTGTGATCCCTAAAGCCCAATTTTTGGAATCTTAAATAACATCCATTGCCTTTTACTTGGTAATACAAAAGTAAAACAAAAGAAAACAACCAAGAAAAAATCCTGAACAATAAAACAACAACAAAAAACCCACTGGAATGGGGTAGGGGTTGTGGGGTAGATATGTGTGTTTGCATGTGGTTTTTTTTTTTTTTTTTGGTCCTGAATTCATTAAACTAGTGTGTATAAGTAGACAGACATATACAATTGCCTTCTTTAGTAAAAACTAAGCGCTCGGAGAAGACAATGGTACCCCACTCCAGTACTCTTGCCTGAAATATCCCACGGACGGAGGAGCCTGGTAGGCTGCAGTCCATGGGGTTGCTAAGAGTCGGACACGACTGAGCAACTTCACTTTCACTTTTCACTTTCATGCATTGGAGAAGGAAATGGCAACCTACTCCAGTGTTCTTGCCTGGAGAATCCCAGGGACGGCGGAGCCTGGTGGGCTGCCATCTATGGGGTCGTACAGAGTTGGACATGACTGAAGCGACTTGGCAGCAAGTAGTTTTCTGAGACATAATAAACTCTGTCATGCATAAGTTCAGGCTCCCCTTTTGACTTTTTTTGAAGTTCACAAATGTTATTCCTGAAAACAGACTATGGGCCAGCAAGAATCCTGGTCAGTTCACATTTATTTTTCTGTTTTCTTAGAAAACTTGTGATGTAAGAGATGGGCACTATATCCTGGGAGCACATGAGTTAATCTGCATTTTTCTGTCTGAAAGTCTAGGTTTTGGCTCACATTTACACAGGTTACCTCTTCTGAGGCAGAGAACTTGTAAATGAACTTCCCCAGGCTTTCCCGTGTTCAGTGGCTCATGGCTGATCCCCTGCTGACTGACCTGTCAGCATCTGTGTTCTCAGGGGGAGAGGCAGGTTTAAAGTGCCAGGACAGTTGTTGTACCAGCAACCATAACATGATGAATGAGTTTTTAACCTCAAAAGTAAAAATGAACTTTCTGACATATGGTAATCATTAGACCTCTGGGTGAATGAAAACACTCCATCTTCTCTTTTACAGAGAATCAAAGCTTTGCCATGTTTAAAAAAAATAAAACCACAACAAATAAACACAGAGTAATGAAAGTCTAAAGCCAAAAGTCAAAAGCACTTACCTTGGCACCTTCTTCCAGTGGAGGACAAGGAGAACCCGTCTGGACACAGACATTTGAAGCTGCCTTCAGTGTTACTGCACGTGCCCAAGGCACAGATTTCTGGCTCTTCAACACATTCATCAATATCTGAAAAAAAGTACATGTGTCAAACAAAGTCAAAACACAATAGAGACACTGTCAGATATTAAATGGACAATGTAAAAGCACAAAGCCTAACTGAGTTTCAAAATTCTTCCAATAATGAAGATTTTTCCTGTATCACAATGCTGGGAGTGGACTTTAGGTTGTGATGACTTTTAAAAAACTAGTCTTGATGGTTCAAGATGGACTCTGCAAGTGCCTTTTTTGGGATGCAGTGAGAAACATCTTTTACCCAGATTGAGTTTATTAGATAATTAGAAAAGTTGCAGTAATCTCGTACTACCCTCAACTGGGAAGGAGCAAGAAACTCTAGGGTCTGACTTCATTAAAAAGTAAGCAGATGCTCTGAAATTCTAATTATTTTAACAATGAGTTACTCAACAGGAGATCTAGGCCTTTGAAGCAAATTTGTTCCTCTCCACCCATCCACAGTGTTTTCCCCAGTAGCCTATGCTATCAACCTAAAACTGTGACTTTTACAAGGACACTAATACTTGTGAAAATAATCCTAATGCAATACAAACTAAAGACATCACAGGAAATGAGGCTCCTATTTCTCATTTGCAGTGTGATTTTTCTGAAGACACAAAGATATCTTCCATGTAAAGACTATAGTTTTTTTTTTTTTTATGGTCTAGATAATACGAGTTTGACACTTAATTGTGGCATGTTTCCTTGAACATATTAGTATACCTTATTTACTATAAAGGGGTAATTAAGGATGGTCTGCATCCTGAATGGCTTGAGTATGCCCTAGTTTGCCTGGGAGAGTCCTAGTTAATGCCTGTTGACCTGGACTCATGAATAGTGAGTGCTGGTCAAAACTGTCTTCATTTGGTGAGCCAAGTATATGATGACCCTACTTATGGAAAAAGTATGACCACTCTTTCCAAGAGGCTTACCCATCTTTTTCCCCTGACTTTCAGCAGGGATTTGTAGTGAAAAAGAGGTAAGTCTTGATTCTCAGCCATGCTATTTTAATGGAAATATTTTTTTCCAACAAAAGAGATTATCTCTTATATCTTGGGACTCTTTATCTTCAGGTTTGTACAAGTTCTACCCACACCAAAATGTATTTGCATTACACAACTTCATTCCCATGAGGTTCAAGTAAAGGGAAGTTAAGAAATTAACTTTGTTATCTTGACTTAGTTTTGTAAATACCACACAATAGATATTCTAGAAATGTGCAGTGCAAAGTGATTATCTTTCTGTACAGTATAAAACCAGCCTCTTCATCATTTCATGTTATGTCACATATATAACTGCATCATGCTTCCTGTGGTTTATTAACTAACAAATCTGAACAAATGTGAACGAACAAAGCTGATGATGACTGAATTACTCCATCCCTACACTCCCTCCACCCCCACGTCCAATCTTTTCTTAAAAGTCAACTTTTGTAAAAATGCTCAGATGTTTCCTTTTTTTCTTGCTTTTGTTGTTATGATTCTCCTGTGGTAGAAATCAAACTGTAGGTGCCAGCTTCATAAGGGTAGGGACAAAGATTTAGAATGAACACATTTATTGACTATTCTGAAAATCATTTTTTCTATATATTTTCATTCTGTTCATTTAGGGGTAATTTTGCATTAATCATGGAGGGAATAATGCTGACCTCTAATAGAAGTAAAATGACACAGTAATTTGTATTTAGGTCTAATTTTGATGTTTTCACTTAGAATATTATCCTTTGAGGTTTAAATTAGATATATAATAAACATTTCTCATTGATTATATTAAAAGTGGACAATTCTTACTCATTAGGGATTAGACACAGACTTGTTTAAAGGTGGGAGCATGGACTCGGTGACTTCTTAAAAGTTCTTTTCACCCTATTTATTCATGAATTTCTGACAATTAATGTCTTTCATTTAATGCAATGATACATGTATTGAGGAATGCAGTACTATAAAACTTGCTGAGAATTTATTTGTAGTTATATATTTCTACCACTCTACAAGTCAAAACAACAATGACAAATTACATAGCCACATTCATCCAACCTTGAATGTGATCACTTAAAGATTTTAACTGGACTCAGGAAGCTATTTTTAGTTGCAACCCACTGGCACTTAAAAACAGGTAGTTCAGGACTTTTTATAAGCTGCATAAAAACACACTGGAGAAGGATCATACCCAAGTACACAGAGCAAATCAGCTTCATCGGAGATTAGCCCGGGAACTAGATGTTCTTGTCTCACCATCTAATTATGAGCCCATGAGTCACACCCTACCCTTGGATTTGTCTGATAAAGTATTGCAAAATGAAGACGCCATTACACCATCTCAAAAATTTGACTCTGATAATGTCAATGAGGTAACCAATACTGCTCATTTCCAACTACTGATAGCCCTCTTACCTTCACACTTGTCATTCTGGAGACTGTATCCAGGTGGACAAATACATCTGTAGGACCCATCCAAGTTTTGACAGGTGCCCGGGGCACATTTTCTGGGATCTAGGAGACATTCATTGATATCTGCAAAGAAAAGGGAAAAAGAAGAAAGGGTTTCCCACTGGCATGATTTCCATCAAGCAATTAAAATTCAGAGACACTGGAATCAAATCTAATTGATAAATCCAAAGCCCCAAAACTCCACCATGAAAACAATTAACACCTCAATAAAAATCAGCTTTATCAGCTTTTGGAAGTGTGCAAAGTAACAGCCATACTTTATTAATGATCTACAGAAAATTAAATATTTCCAGAAAAGTACAGCATTTAAAAAGTGAATGGCTATGAAGATTTTTGAGGGCACCTAGCAGCTTATAGAAGAGCTTACTACAAAGCTATGTGGAAGAAAAAAAGAAAGGGAATTACAATGCTTATAGGATAATTCAACTGTCACACTGAGTGTTGTAATATTGTAACTGTTTTCTGTAAGTACAGAAACTTAAAGGGGAAGAGTACTACATATACCATATACACCTACAGGCAGCATTAGGGTAATTCTATTCTGATCTTTTCCCTCCAGGCTTCTGAAGGAAGAATTGTGATACAGACTGCGTGATTCCTGGCGCGGTCTCGGATCCTTTCTGAAGCAGCACTCACCCACACAGGTCCTCCCATCTGGAGCCACCTCATAGCCTTCATTGCACTGACACTGGAAGGACCCCACTGTATTGATACATTGGCCATTTCTGCAAAGGTTCCCATTTCCAGTTGCACATTCATCAACATCTGCCAAGGAAAACATCCTTTGATATATTCCAAAGAAAAATGTCATAATCCCATCAATGACCAAAACCTTTAAAGGGAAAAATGCTTATTCTGAATTTCAGTAGCCTTTGCTGGCTCAAACTTAAGAAATTCCTTTCTGATCTAGTTTATAACAACAGACCTGGCTTTATTTACCTATCAAAACTTTAAAGATGAAATAATTCTACTAATTTGATTGATAATTTATGTTAGGATTTTATCTGAGTTTCACTTTGGTCATCCTGTAGGTTTCATTTTTAAAGGTTAAAACTGAATTACTAATACACAATACAGCTGAGAGTATTATTAACTATTCTTACAATCAGAAGTATATAAAAGTGGCCTCTTGCACAAAACAAAATTTGGTTCCTCACCCTTGCTTGTGAATAGTACAGCATATTTTATAGGAAGAATTTTATAGCTTCAATAATTTACTTCTTTGAAGAGAGGCTACAGTGAAACACCTAGACAAGTAGGTCCACACTGTTCCTGAATTATGTAATTTCTTTACAAAGGATCATTTTTATATGTTTTAAGATATATTGAATTTACTTTGAAATGTATTTAATTTGTAGCATAGTAGACATAAAAATTATAGCTGCTAATGAGTATTTTAATAAAAGTCATAGATGTCCTAACTGTATTTGACACTTAATTAGCACATTACTGATTATTAGTTACTTAATTAGCATATAACTCTTAACCAATTGTCACATCTAAAATGGTTTATATTAAAAACGATAGCCGGCACGCTGGAGATGATGCTGATTACAAAGACACACGTGAAATTGCCTTCCTCTGGTGGTTGGCGGTTTGGCACACATACCTATGCAGTCATTGTTGTGGGAGAGGATGAAACCGTGATTGCAGCGGCAGTTGAAGGAACCAATCGTGTTGCGGCAAGTGCCATTCCCACAGGCATCTCTTTCACACTCATTTATGTCTAGCAGGAACAAAGGAAAAGGGAAAAGGAAAGGAACAAAGGGAAAATATAATTATGAACAGAAGAAGGGGGAATATGGTCACCTGGGGTTAAAAGGCATTTTAGAGCTCACAAAGTGTTGTGCATCGGCTGAGAATTTCTAGATTGGATGTCGGTGTGAGTTCCCGCAGTGGCAGCTCCCTGTGAGAAACTAGCAAAAGGCAAGGTTCTAAGCCTTGGGAGAAAATCCTTTCCTTGGTTGGCATGTGAAAGGAGGCAAGCTAAGGACATGAGAACTGGACAAGAACTATTTTATTCTATTTACTTCTAGAATTCTCCACCCTTGCCACTTTTCTCAAATATTTTCACTTGGAAATGGAAACTTCTGTGCGCATCTGGGTCTTGATTCGCTGCCACCTCTGGCAAACTTCAGCCTTTAAGATTCTCACTCCAGTTTACCAAAAAGCAGTGAGTCACCTGATATTACCCCAAAATCAGCAACAAAATAAATTAGCTTTCTCACTCACCTGGAAGACGTCTGTTTCTTTCCCAGTCTGTCCCTAAAACCCACGACCACTCCCACAAAATAGTGACTTATCTCTCTTCTAAATTATCCCAATGTGATGGCACTCAATTTGGCTCTTCTCTAGCAGCACGAGTTGTCTTTTGGTTGGTCTACAACTTTTCACTTTGACTATCCTGTAAAGCTATTTGGCGCCTTATGATGTCTTTACATCTTGTGACAGCAGTTATTATCTTTCTAGTAGGAGTATATTTTACTAAAGAGGACATAAGAAATTAAGATGAAAACCACTGATATTCCTGGTTTGCGATATCGACAGGCAGAATGTGGAGGACCAGGACAAAGGGATGGGGAAGGAGTGGAAGGTAACACCTCAGGTTAGTAAAAGGTAGTGTTTAGAGTTAGGATTTCCTTTGCCTTCAAACTTTGGTTGAATTATCTATGATTGTAAATCAGGATGCTATAGCTAAGCAGAATGTGTGTGTCTGAAGACTGCATGTGTGAAGACTGAATCCAAATGAGTCACCCTTCTAGCAATCAAGAACTTCTGCCGTGATTCATTTTTAGCCACGCAAGTGAAGTTCTTTGGTTGGGCAGGTTCTTTTGGTGGGGATTACAGATAACTCAGATGGGAGAGGGAGAATGAAAGTTGGACAGGACTTCATGAATACACTGAGTTATCTCTCCAGTGATTAGTGGGACTGATTATAATCTTTAACTTAAAACTTGTTATCTGCTCTGAAGATGACAAAACTTTATGAGAATGTTCCCTAATGGATGAATCTAATTACATCCAAAGGCAAGCACTTTAAACATTATTGACTGTTCTTTTTCCTGATTCATGTTCATGTAGGCCCCAAAAGACTTAATGGATGTTGCTTTAAAATAGAAAAAGAAAGGAGGAAAGGAGAGAAATCGATTGATTGCATATTTGAAGTTTAGTCTAAATCAACATTCTGATTCAGTACTAAAACTGAGGAAGAGATTTAAAATCTTGAGCTCTTTTCCCCTAGGAAAAATGATCTGTAAATTTGCCTTTAAGGACCTGTTATATCCTTATATACATATATATATATATATATAACAGTTATACATATACAGACACTTCTCAAAAAATGCTCATACTCAACCACTCAAGAGCTGCACTCTGTTCCAATGAGGCAAATTCACATAAATATTATAAAGGAACAATAGGCTATTACCATTAATAAAATTAATTTTTTGTCTTAATATCTTTCTCAATTTATCCCTTTATCAAAAGTTTTTCTGAACTGACAGTCAAATGAATATCAAGAAAGAGGTTCAGATTCCCAAAGATTAAACATCAAAGGATATTAATGCTGCAACCTGCTTCTGTATTTTATAAATAACAAAACAATTAGTGTTAGCTTTTAAATATATTCAGATACACATGAATTTTTCAATAGAATGTGAAAAAATGAAATGATAGCCACATACTCACCCAAACACATGGTTTGATCAGCATTTGTTTTAAAACCAGTGTGGCAGAGGCAATAAAAGCTTCCAACTGTGTCAATACACTGTCCGTGGCTGCATATATTGGGGATTTCTTGACATTCATTGCGATCTATAAATAAAAAGCATCTTAAGTGGAAACTTGGAAGGCCAAATCAAATCATTTTTTCTTTTTCAAGTCAAATACTTACTTCTAGTTATTGGCCTCATGATTAATCCTAGTTCTAAACTAAGCCAGTAAAACTGATGCTGACATTATATTCAATATTTATTTTTGACTCAAAATTGGTTAAAACTTACTCTCATTTACTAGGCACATTCAGAGCATATTAACAATACACAAGCAATGAAAAACAGGGGCAGTATCCAAAAAGTCTTCTGAAAGATGAGCAAACAGGCATAGAACGGGGAATAGAAATGCAAGCTGGGAGATAATCCATTTGATTATCTGCCTACACAGTATCCTAGACTATGGAATTAATTGAAGTATTTTGTCTAGTCAAGATTTGGTGTCTCAAATCATGGAAGCTTCATGGCTTCCTCTGGAAATTTAAACAAATCCCATTGCTAAGCTAGGTTTTCATGATGGACAGCCTGCATGGTCCCTTGCTCCAGTTTCACCCCATTATTTTGTCTCACTCCTATAACCTTTTGTTCCATCTTAACCAAGCCTTCCTGTCTATGTAGGACTCCTTTCAGCACCTGGCAATCCTAATGATGTTTCTTTCTTTTTTTTTAATCCATATTCTTTCAAAAGGAAGCCCTCTCATCTTGCTTCTGCCACTCACTGGGCCCTAAGTTACATTTATTGTCAAGTTAATACTTCTTGCTCTCCTGAAATCTAATTATCTCAGGGGCCAAACATGTTGCATGAATTCACAAATGACATAATTGCATGCCTACTTATGTCTCTAATTTTTTAAAGCTCTCAAGATTCCATGTTTAGGGAAAATGTAACTTGAGGAGCACTGATTTTCTGTTGTCACAAAAGAAAGCAAATGGCAGAATGCTGCCGTGGGTGCAGATGCCAGAGAGCAGCTCGGAACTTGGCTTTCAGCTGAATAATTCAAGCTTGCTGTTTGCCCACCCCAGCTACTGAGAAGAGAGAAAAAGGGAATGGGTACCTTTTGCTGCCCAGGACACTTGTGCCCACGCCAGGACACAATATACTCCCTCCATTTATGTGCTCAGGCTGCCATTTATACAACTACTTCCTTCCAAGTACACAAAACATCTAGAGTCGATGAATCACCATGTCCTTTAGAAATCTCAGGTTGGGGGCGGGTGTATCATGAAAAGGGGAAACTAGGGTAGAGCATCTCAGGAGCTACAGCTGGTCTATGCAGAAATGCTAGTGAACAAATGATGTGTGTGCTAAGTTGCTTCAGTCATGTCCAACTCTTTGAAATCCTATGGACTATAGCCTGCCTGGCTCCTCTGTCCATGGAACTCTCCAGGTAAGAATACTGCAGTGGGTAGCCACTTCCTTCTCCAAGGGATCTTCCTGACCCAGGGATTGAACCCAGGTCTCCTGCATTGCAGGCAGAGTCTTAACCATCTGAGCTACCAGAGAAGCCCAAGAACAGATGATGATTATTCACATTTGGATAAAAATGAATTTCAAATGAGCACACTGCTCCCTGGGATAGGCAGAGGACACTGATTTCCACTACCAAGCTCAGTGAAGAGAGTTGATTTTGAGGAATGGTGTCTCGGGGGCTTATTACAGTCAGCCTAGACCGTGGGCATCCTCAGGTAATACTGAGTCTGGGCTAATGCAAGGATCAGGTCTGTCTCATCTCTGGGGCCCACAGGGAATGAAGAGCATTAAGAATCTTTCTAGAAAGGGATCCTCAATTAGGAATTTTCTTTTCTACACTGCCTATTTCATGATGATTTTTTTTTTAAAATGAAACATGGGTTACTTTGCAGTTCTG